TCTTGTGTACATGTATGAATCAGATTAATAACGATGAACATCATCCATATTCAATTGATCTAATTCAACGATGCATCGATGATGTTATGATAAAAAAAGCTTCAATTGAACAACAATATGAACATTTGCATAATTTGTGTCAAACGATTAAACCATTAGATATCCATCAACGGAAAAATATTAAAAATGCCATACTCTTATGTTCTTATAATTTCGAGCAGGTCATTTTTTGCTTATTAATTGTAATTCTCGTGAGGACAGGACTTATTTAGAGTTATACTGATTGTTAGACCTTATGAATAGTTATTAAACATAATAGTAGCAAACGAACTACATCTAAGAATAGATTCTCGGTTTGTATTCTGACGTCTAATTTAGCACATTTTTTTGTAGCTCAAAAAAAACTTGCACATGTTACAATGCAACATGCAAAGACTTGATTGATGAGAAAAAAAATCATTTGATGACATTTTGATGTATGATATCAGCGTATGATCTAATTTCTAACGAAAATTTTTTAGTTTTTTAATTAAAACTACTGTGATATTCAATTTCCTTTGTCCTTAATTTTTTGAGTGAACATTTATATACAATATTTGATATGTTGATGAAAAATGAATGAAGATCGGTCATATTATTATTTTACGGATGATCGATTGATGACGACCATAAATTATTTTCTCTTTCTTTACTCCTTTTTTTAGCAATAAAATTAATTTTAACTTAAATTTTTTTATGTGAAGATGTATGTTGAGGAAATTATAAAAGAATGTTTGAGTTATGTATAAAATAACAGAAATACGAGTTGTTGTTCATCCGTAGCGTTTTGATTATTCTATTTATCGTTTAGAACATTTCTATTGCTTTAGATTATAGTTATTTGTTTTCCATTTTTCTTTTCTGTTCTGTATATTATATATCCATCGTTATTAATGGAACCTATCTTAATCATAAATCAAATAGAACGTTGAAAAAAATTTTAATTTAATCACTACCTAGTGGCGGAGCCACCAACGGGGCTAGACTGGGCTGAGCCTTGCCTAGAAAGCTCTGAACTCCGCCTAGACAGTTTTTTAAAATTTTTCCTGAAATTCAGCTTAAATTTATTAGCACTACTTCAGACCGAACTTCAGAAAAGTGATGGACTGAGCCCTGCCTAGTACGAAATCCTGGTTCCGCCGCTATCACTACGATTTATCTGGTCTTCTAGTTTTTCCAACGAGTAAAATCGTAAAAAGTGGACTTTTATCGCGATAATTTTTACTTCACTTTGACAGTAACAATAAAAAAGTTTTTTAACTCAAAATCAGTATATTGTTGCAAAATGTTACTAAATTTGTATACGCACATGTACATTCTTCTGCAAAGAAACATTGCTCTAAAGCGCAAGTCATATCATTTCATCTTTGTGTGGTGCTTTTTATAAACGTTCTTAAAGAATCAAAAGGATTTTTCCAACTATTTTTTCCTAAGTGTCGATGCTCTTAGAAAACTTTTTAAAGATCTTCCGAAAGCGAGTTTTACGAAAATTAGGGTTTTCAGGCCGTTTTCACCTTATATTAAAAAGTTCACTATTCACTCAAAAAACATCAGCTCAAGTTCAAAACTTCAGGATATGATTAATATTTTCGCTAAACGTGATTATAAGATCAAGTCGAGAAAACATATTTTTCTTAATAAGTTTTGCAGAAGCTCTGTCGTTTCTAGTATCGTCAGATATTCGCCTTAGAGCAAAGTGTTCTCTTTACGATAAGACCACTCTAAATTTTTTCACTGATTTTTCGCATCGATATAACGATCACACGTAATGTCCTGGAAAAGGTGATTTGTCTAATACTACATGTAATGATCGAAACACTTTGCAACCTCTCGAACGGTTGGTCTGATCCAGTCTAAATTTTCACCACATACTTCAGACCGTATCTTAGATGCTGAGATTTTTTAACACTAGACACCATTTACTGGAAACTAATTATTGTGCTCTCTCTCCAACCAGGATTACCACTACTACTATATTATTCTATTGAAAAACAAAAAAAATAGAAATAAATTCTTCTATCCCTTCATCATCATTGTCGTGATTCATCCATTATATTTAAATCACAGTAAAGAAGAAGATGACGAAGAGCAAAAGAAAAGAAAAAAACAAACGAACAGTAAATGGCAGCAGCGGGAGAAGATTATGATCAATTGATTGACGATAACGTTGTCAATGTAAGATAATGTGTAAGATGGAGGTGTTAGAACAGTTAGAATGGAACGGTAATGTGAGTGGTGGCGGAAGCACGCTAGTTTTGGTTGATGGCGGTAACTGGTCTCGAAGAGTGTTGTATCTTGCAATACTCTTCGCACAAAAGACCGGTTTATTCATCAACGTTGCGCTTTTCAACCCAAAACCGCCACCCACCATAGGAAAGTTGTCTTTGGTAAGACCGACACCGTTTCGACGTCGCATAGATGGAAGAAGGAGACGTAGAAGAAGAAGTTGATAAGAGAGATGTGATCTTTCACTTTCAATAGCTTAAGTGAGAAAAGAGAAAGATTATGTGTCAGTAGTTTCAGCATCAGATGAAAGTCGTAAATTACACCACTGCGCTCACTTATAGTAGAATACATTCCAACGATTAACAAAAATTGACATTAAAGACCTGTTTACATCACGTAAGGGAAGTTAGCAGCAGATTTCTATATTTTCGACTAACATTTTTTATTAAAGCTGTGCCATCTCTAGAAATAAGTGTGCCAGATAGAACTCGATGAGCTCTATCGAATGGCACAATCTTTTCTAGAGATGGCACAGCTTTAATAAAAAATGTTAGTCGAAAATACAGAAATCTGCTGCTAACTTCCCTTACGTGTTTACATCACACCATTTTCAATCTCCGCCTAGAGTACTGTCCAACATATATTATAGAAAACAATTGTCTATGCTGTAGCAACGCAACAGCAGCTAAACATCAACAACGCTTAAGAAATCAAGCTTTCCACGAAAAGTTACCACTATAATTTTAGGGGTTGCATTCTCTATATCGAAAAGAGATATTACACGACCGTAATAGTTTTTTTCGTGCAATCACTGATCGCATACATGGTACTGACGATCTTTGTGAACATTATCGAAAATATGTCATTGATTATATAACTGCAAATAGCAATGAGTTTTCGAAATATGCGTGGCGATCTGCGACATCGTTATCCATTGTTAGTTAAAATGGCAGATAGTTCACAACCAGCTGATAAATTATTAATAAGATCATTACAGGGTGTCCCAAAAGTCCCCGTAAAAGTATACGAACTGACAAAATTTCAGTGGCCATTGGACCGGAGAGATGAGAGTTTAAAAAACAAATAAGATTTGAAAAAGTATGGTTATAACTACTACGATAAAGTTTTACTTATGGATACCTATCCATAGTATCCATCCGTCCATGTGAATATTTTTGCAACGACGAATCTGTTTTCTTTAATAGCAGAAGAATATCTTGCATAATCCAGAGAAGTCTCCAAGAAAAGACTTTCACTCTTGTTTTTCTTCTACAAACATTTTTGTCCTAATTCTCCACGCTTGCTATTTTTGATGTATCAAATGAACTCTTGAATTTTTTAGATGACATCTTTTTTTGAAAACCTTTTTTAGATCATTTCGTGTGTTCCTTTTTCCAATAGAAATAAACAAGATTTAGGATATCTTAGATCAGGAATCCAGTATTTTCCAGAGGGATTTGGCTATTAGCCGACTCGAGGTCAACTCATCTTAGATTCAGGTAAAAATCGAAAAGGTCTATCAGATACTAGTATCATTTTTCAGAAATCATTAAAGCGGCCGCAATAAAATTACGAAATACTGCTGAAAAATACAGGATGTTTCAAAAGTCACTTTACACTTGACACTGTACGTGTTTTACGTCTTAAAGCCTCTTTTACGCACAGAGCTTGCCAGTTGAAAAGCCAGATAGAAATTAGTACGTGCTCAAAAAACTGAAGTGGCCATATCTGCTCTGAATTCGAACATGACTGTGATTTCGCCTTTTCTCTACAGTATTGTATGACTGATTCATCTATTAGAACACTGTTTTAAGTCAATTCCATTCCATCGTATCGTTAAACCCATTGTCAAATTTTCTACGTGACTTGTCTCACCAAAACGCGAAAATAAAAAACGCGTTTTGATCGGTTTTTTAGTACGAAAAAACGGATTGGGTGATGCACCTAGTGTAAGACAATTTTCAATTAGATGCTACTAGTGAGAAATCGCTTTGTTGTTCATGATGAGAAACAGTAGCTATCGTTTTGTTCCGTGAAGATTGAGTTGCACAAAGCTATATTCAGTAGATAAAATTGCGGCACTTCAATTTGCTATGCTTCATGCTCTGGATTCAAGTTTGGAAAACATCTCCTTCATAGTGAAAAACCTGAAAACCACTACTTTCAAGCTAATTTTCGATTTTTCACTACGCAGGAGTGTTTCCCCAGCTTGCGTTTCTATTACGAATTGTAGCAACTTTAATTTTCTAAATTTCATCTGCTAGAATCAGCTTTATACAGATAGATTTTCCAGATAAAAAATACAAAAAATCGTTTTTCGGTCTGAAGGCCGGCTTCAACAGTAAAATTTTAGGAAATTAAACTTCGAATATTTCATGTTCGAAACTCAAGTCAAAGAAATGCTTCCATCATGGCAAGAATGCCTAATTATTGCTAATCAGTAATTTTGAATCTTCTAAGTTTCTATTTTTATTCATAACAAGAACGAGAACGAAAACTGTACATGAATTTGTCTTAACTCGTATACAATGCTGTATACAGAAGACTACTGACCTCTAGGTACAGAATTCGAATCTCTGCACGAGCTCTGTTTCTATTCTTTCATTTCTTTTTATCTCGATTGAACAGTCATTACATCGCTATTTGTGTCTAGCGATCCTTTTTCTAAAACAGCTAGATAAATCGTACGATTAATCACTAGATGTCCCTAGTTCATATCGTTTTTTATCAATCATAATTTCTTACTAGATGCATCGGTATTGTATTGTGTAACGTATCGGACGATATTCCAACGAGTGTATCTAAATTTTTTCTCTTACGTTTTTGTGCCTGGGATATTATGAACGCAAAATACTGAAAACTATCTGAGAGCAGAAAGGAAAAAGAAAGAGAGAATGAAATTATTCGCAAAATATTACGAATAATTTCACTCTCTTTCGTCTTCTTTTTACTCTCGAATTGCGCTCAATCTGTCTAAGGCCAATTTGAGATATAAAAGAATTTATTTTCAAAGTATCATAATCGGTCTGTCTCTTTCTTTCTCTTAATAGTATTCTGTATTTCGAGCATTTTCTATATAACAGTATTTTTGTATATATATTTGAAAAATATTCATGAACAGTCATATATCTTGACGATAATGTTAGTGTAAGCATCGATGTAATAAAATGATGCTTGAATAAAATTAAAAATTGTTTTATAAAATTATCTTTTTACAAAATTTTATGATTAATTGGTATGTATATCTGTATGTATATTCACCTGTAAGATCTACAACTTTTTTCTGTTATATATGATGCAACGCCCCAACCCGAAATATCAGATTCTTCTTGAAGCCTATTATTTTCTGACAAAAAAAAAATCGGTAATTGACCTTACAGACGGATATTACACGTATGTTTATATGTAAGACAAGATATTTGCATGCGTCCGTCCATATAGACGAGTGAAAAACATAGCCACTGTACGATATGAGAAATATTAAAAAAACTAAAAACTAAAAAATATCTCCGTTAAGCATTCAGTATAGCTATGTCGATGGTTTATTGAAATAAATAATAATCACCTTACACAGGACTTTGTTATATAGGAGAAAGAGGAATTTTTCCGAGATCTGTGTGGTTTCGTGTTTCCACTATGTTCATTCTCAAGATTATTATCAAATTCTTCAACAACTACTTCTGCACAGCAGGAAATTTGCAAAAGTTTTGGACGCGTTTGAATCCGTCAATTGAAAACTTTACCATTACCACATGTTTTTCCCTTAGACAACGTCCAACGCATTTAAACGCGTTTATTTTTCGAAAGAAATATTTAAAACTGCCTATGACGCCTTGAAAAAAACATGGAAGAAGGTTTCAACGCGTCAGAAAACACGATTTTAAATGTAAAACTCGTAAAAATGCATCGAAACTAAGGGAAAAACGCGTGATAATGGTAAACATTTTAATTGGCGCGTTTGAACGCGTCCAAAACTTTGCAAATTTCCTGCTGCGTACTGTCATTAATTCGTCGTAGCCTGTTGCTAATGTAACTGTAGTTCTTTTCTCACAAACAATATCCTGTTAGATAGATTAGCAAGGTCAATAATATAGGTAAAATCGTCAAACTTCTCTATACCAGTAGCAATAGCGGGCACTTTATGCTCATGGCTGTCATAAACAAATGCTAAAGCGTTTCTAAATTCGGGTATATTTGTTGTTTTAATACTAAGGAAAAGCTGTACGATAAGATGGCAAAACTTTTGTATTATTGAAATAAACATCTACGATTGAGTCATTGAAATCGATAAAATTAACAAAATCGTCTTCCATAACGTTAAGTTTATGTTTTTAATCAATCCGTACTGTAAATGGAAAATTTTTATCCCGATTACTTTTTGCTGTTAATGTATGATCAGCAAAGCTAATATCCGTTCCAGTTATTTAATTAAATCAGCACCAACCATTAGAAACTATTGCAGATCATGTATGACTAAAATCTTATGCTTTACTGTCATTCCGCCGATCGTTATTTCTGTTGTGATAGTGCCGACTGGATGAGATTTCATTCCAGTAGCCATTTTTAGATAGGGTTCACAATAATATTTGAGTGGATATTTACGTTTACATACACGTAGCCATATCCATGAGGATCATGGGCGATCCACTATCAGTTATAAAGTTGTTTGCATTGTCACATATCATCTCTTCGGTTAGTGGTGCATAAAACTTTGTTGTTCTTCTTGTTTAGACGAACAAGGAACTTCTGTTTCCGATGGCTTGATTAACACAGTAGTTGATAATGGTGCATCATAAAAGTTTCAATGTGATCTTTTTTTGTATTTGTCGTTAGCGTAGTGGTTAATACCATTTCTAATTGATTACTACTAAAAGAAACAAGAACAAGGAACTAATTGTTTACCAAACTGAATATTATCTTGGAAGTTTGTCTGACGACGGTTTTTATTATAAAAATAATGAGTACGATGTGGTGGATATTGCCGATTAGTTCGATAGGCTAAAAACTGCTAATTGTGGGACAACGAAGACCTTAGAAACTCCTGCCCCGTGTACCGTTTAAAAGACTCGCTTGTTGTCGTTGTTGAAACTATGATCGATTACGACTACTGTTTGGCGAATAATATGAATCATTCATTGTTGAATTTAGGCAGTTTCGGCCTACATGTTCGGGTTGATCTTTATTGATCAGATCCATAAATTAGCCATAGAGTCGCATTTTACTTAAACCTAATTCTTCATTAACAGATGAATAAATGAGTTAAGTTTCATCCAAGTTTTAAGTGAAACGTTTTATTTTTCAAAGGTTTTCTTCGTAAATTTTGAAAATTTCGATATACAATTTTGGAAACGTAGATTTTCACAGAAAGTCTTTTAACTTGTAGCTCAATACTTATACTTTTGTATGTCTCAAAACTAAGGTATGCAATTATTTAGCGAGAGTTGACATTAAAATAAAAATGCGACTATTTTGCTAATGTATCGATGTGAAAAGAGATATTTTAGAACTATGACGGGGTAAGGCTAAAAAAGCTTGGAACATCATGTCAAACACGAAACAATCCTGCGCGTTACTTGTGAAACGTCTCAGAAATTTTCTCCGCGTGATCTCGCGTCGAAAATGTAAAAACATACGTATTTATCAGACGAAACGCAGAATTTTTTGAAACTTTTTTTACTGAGTGAAGATACAAGTATTATACTTATTAGGGTTCAACAGTACAATGGCTGCGCTTTATCCCTCGCAAACGATGGCACCAGCAAACGAGAAAAATTATCGCAACGAGTGATCATATTTCAGAATTCGACTTTTTTTGTTGAACACAGTAGATAGCCTGATTGAAACTAAATTTATTCAAGAAAAACACCCAATATTAGTTTCGCCTAAAGCGGACAAGACCAAAATGGTTTTGCAGAGATATTATCTTGACTTAACCGAAAATACAAAAAATGAATAAGCAAGAAGAAATCATAGTAGATGAGAAAAAATATGAGAAAAGGTAGCCTGAAGATTATAAAGTATATGTGCTTTAAAATCTCTTGATGTCGATTATGTAGTCCATGATAGTTTTATAGAGTTATTTATGTCTATCATCATCAGCTGTGTTCCTAAGTAGTATTGTTTCGAGATTGATAACAAGTTCAGGATCAAAGTTTTTCAAGTTTTTATATACAGTTTCTCTAGCTAATCTCTATTTCGAGTAATCGACGAAGAAATGATTGACCGTTTCAGGTCGTTTACATGAGCAGAGATCATCGGGATCTCGTATTATAAGATGTGTTGTAAATGATCCTCCGAAAAACCAGTTTCTAACTCAACAGTTTTACACAACAGTCTATCGATTTTTCTCCATATATAGATAGACCAAAGCGTCATCTACAAAATAAGATCCAAACAAAAGTTTCACTTTGCTTCGTTCGGATGCTTTGGACGTTTTCCTCCAAGCCTTGATTCATTTTTTGATTTTCGACATGAAACAACTATTTCAAAAAATTGAAAAGTATATGCTCGTGATCAATTTGAAACGCTCTATCGAAAGGTGTACAATAAGTCCGAAAAAAATTTTGCTCTAAGTTTGCATTATTTACGCGTTATTAGTATTGCAATTCATGCAGGCCTTTATCATTGCCAGTAGCACAATTTATTTGACTTTTATAAAAGAGATTCACGTTTATAAAGGTTTTTGAGGCACAATTAAACTTTGCCAGCATTCTTTTTATAATTATTGATAAACGCTTTTCTGTCGAGGTATAACAGATATAGTGTATGTACTGATGCAGGTATACTGATGAATGCTTGTACTGATGTCAGTCGTCAAAACGAAATAGTTAGAGCAATGGTCCTCAAGTCATTAGTCATTCAATAATAATAGCAAAAGAAGAGAGAAAGATAGGGAACAATGGAGTAGACAAGGGAAGGTTTATGTAAAATAAAACATAAATCGTTTAGAGGCTAGAACATAACAATCAATTCAGACTTTTGTTAGGAGCATAATGCATTTTACTTAAAGCGAGCGGTGTTAGTTATAATGAGCAGACGATCTCATTTTTTGGAGTAGTTTATTATATTAACCGACGATCATGAAAAAACAGTATTTTTGTTGAAGGGAAGGCGGTTAATCAACGTATTCCTCGATGCAGTATAATCTGGGCATTTAAATAGAGAATGGTGAAGATCTTCGCTAAAAGATACTAGTGATGGTATTAATATTAATACTAATATTTAAAGTTTAGTTCCACTGTTAATCTACCTGAATCCCATCTAAATATACTGGAATAGTAAACTATGTGTGTAGTATATAAGTTAACTCTCCCTTACAATGAAATATGCTTGTTGATTGTACAATAAGAAAAGAAATCTTCTAATCTATAGATACGAGCATGGGTCTCTTGATGGATATGCACTCCAGAATTTACTCAATCAGATCGCTCTTATGAGCTAGACTTCGGTCAGTTAACGTTCAATAATTAAATCCGATAGCTGCTGAAATCAACATTGTTTGGAGTCTACTGTCGATAGAAAAAAAAAGAATGGGCTCGGATGTTTTTTGAATAGCGGTTGACAGAAAAGTGATAGAGACTTCCGATCTCCACCAATTGGAAACCGAGATCTGACCGCATCTTTTCATCTTGAAGCCATTTGAAAATTTTCTTTCAAAGTGGGTTTTTCAGAGGATCTTTAGAAAACCATATTATAACTAAAACTCATAGTAAAAACTTGGTTTTTACAGGGGTCGATAGTTTAAAGTGTTCTCTTCATAACAGAAGTCAAGCGAGAACTTAATTTTTAGCGGTTGGGTCGTGGTATTGAATATTACTCAGATAATTATCACTATCCAGCCTTTTAATCATTTTGTTTTTCCATTTTATGAACGCTGAGTCTGATTTGTTTGCAGAAGAAGATCCGCACATATTATGAAAACTTATACGAAAACTGTCATATCGCAAAAAACCAAAGCAACTGATCTCAAATGTACCACTCTCAGGCTTTCAAAGTTAATTTAATTGCGATTCTGCATGATTTAAATTGCTTGTACAACTCGTATTTACAAAGAACATGGATTTTGGCTTCAGGGTTTGGCAGGATTTACGTCAGAACTAGTATAGATTGGATGGTTGATGAGCTGTGATGAGCTGTCCCGACTCGCGGTGCGAGCTCCGAAGACCCGCAGTGTCGGTAACGAGTCCGGTCTTGCTATGTTCGTAAAGGTATTTATGTCTGAATCTCTATCCCCCACCTTGAATGGAGTCTCCAGTTGTTCTCTGTTATATATGAGGCAACGCTCTATTCAGGGCTTAGACAGGATTATCTCCCATATATATTTCCATCTGATGGAACGATCTGATTAATCGTTCTCATTTTACTTTCTTCAATTCTTGTTGGTTTCTTTCGTTATAAAACTTTTTTATCATTTCAATCACACTATCTCTTTCGCCGAGCCCAGTTCATCCGAAGAGAACTGGCGTGCTCTCTTATAGCTATAATTTACTCCAAATCTACCCATAGAGCCCTCAATGCACTGCTAGTGGGGTGTAATGCTTCACCAATAGTCGGGCCCCACCAGCAATAAAAATTGCATACAACGAGTATTTATCTTGTAGGAGGGATAAATCTATGGGGTCTTCGATAGGTTAGCTTCTTAGTTGTGAGGAGCAACTTTTCTTTTAAATTAGACGTTAGATGTGCTTCTGTAAGATTGTACAAGGATTTAACCGATTGTTGACGATGGTGATTTACTTAAACCATAAATCAGAAAAATAACAAACAAACTACTTTCAATCAGCGCTTTTGTGTCGAAGTTTAATTAAAGTGTATTCTTACTCATACTCGCTTTGAGGCTTGAATAGTTGTAGGACCTGAGAGTAGAGGAAAATGGGATCAATCGTAAGAAGTAATATAGATAAGTTTCTCATAACACACATGCATTTATTTTAGCTGTTTTAGGTATCTGTCAGCATACATCGCTTGAAGTTTAATGTGACTTCAGCTTGTTTGTTTCACGAAAAACCTGATATTCGTCAGGATTTCTGTGAATGATCATGTAATAAATGAATAACTCAAATCCAACGCATTGCATCATTTCATTTCATATTGCACCCTTAATTTGACACACAAAACGATAAAAGTTCGAAGTGAAAGCAGAAAAATAATAAAATATGTGCTGATAACTTGATCACTATGTTCTTTCTCAATTCTTTCCGGCACACGTATTTTCTTTTTCGTTATTTTCTCAATACATTTCTTTTCTCTTTCACTGTTGTGACTTATCCCATATTCTCTTTCATTTTCATTCATCATTTCTATATGTATGAACTGAAGCAACGGTTAGTGAAAGAGCTCAGACTGATAAGGTAGGCCGAAACTGATAAGATAGCCTCACAGAAAAAAAATGCCAGTGGATAGTCATTGATAAGGCACATATATATTTATATATATATATATATTTGCGAAAAATATATTATCAATCTAAAACAAGTAAAAAGATTATAATAGAACTCGAATAAAAATATATCTGACAAGAGTATGACAACTAAATTCTCAAAGGTATGCTACTTCGATCTATTCTGTGACGCAGCGTTTTCCTCTGAAGAGTTCAGAATGTCGAATCTTAGCCGGTCCACTACAATCTCTTGTTGTTGCCTTTAATGTATTACTTTTTCTGTGTAGGTTGATATTGAAGATTCATTACGAGCTGTTGAACAAAGATTCGAACAATTAGCACAACAGTTGAAAGAAGAATTCGAAATGGCTATGCGGCCAATACGAGACGAACTAAATGATGCAAAACAACAGCTAAACGATGCAAAACAACAGCTAAACGGTGCAAAACAGCAAATAAAAGGACTGAATCAGAAACAAGAGAAACTAGGTGAAAAGCATCAAGAACAAATTATCATTGTACACACAGAGAAAAAGAAAGAACTACAAAAGATAATTGAAAGTGAGTATTACGCCGAGACAAAAAAAATCATTCACAAAATATGATTTGTTTCTTCGATTCTAGAAGTTCGTCGTGGTCGTGGTGATATGAATTAGAACGTCTTAAATTTGCCTACGTATCTGTTAAACATTTTTCTGTCCATTCGAGGTTTTTTGTTTTGTAAATGAATGAATATTTGAAAGTTGTTTTTTTGAAATATTTTTTTAATTTGATTTGTGTATTTCAATCAATATAATTGTGTACAATAAAATATGAATAAAATAAGTGATAAATAGCGAAGAAACAATGACAGGTTCATCTTCATTCAAATTGACAGTTGAACAATCCTAACATAGAAAGGCAGAAGGAATTTTGGTTGAAAAATAGTATAACAAATTAATAATATCACTAATCTCACTCAAGTTTGTGGAGGGATACAGCTTAATGATAAGCCATAGAAATCGTTTACGATTTATACTGTTGGATGCAATTCAACGGTACGTTATTGATTTTATTCAAAATTATATTAATTTTTCACGCACTTTTATTGATATAGACCTTCATACTCTTGACAAGTAGCAGTGGTATTCAAAGTAGAATTACCAGTCGGTCGATGAATTCAGGCAGAAAAGTCTTAAAATATACATCTATTTCTTGTCCATTGTCAAAAAGCACATCCCGTAAAGGCACAAATGCGCATCATAGTGTAATGAAAATGATTTGGAGTATATCTGTCATATTCTTAATTTTGAAAAATGAAAAGCTTGTTATGAACGTTCGACCGTGGTTTCTCATTTCTTTATATTGTTGTTAGAGAAAATATTCCGTGAACTGCGTTACTGGTAAAAGCACGCTCTACGTTCTTTTCTTTCTACAATTTACAGCAGGAGTTGTTGAAACAAGTAGGGGCGCCCCGATACCTCGGAGGCAGAAGGGAAGTCAATTTTGGAGTAAGCTTTTATGCTTTCAAAAAATTGGAGTGAGACTAAAACAAGAGATAAATATTCTATGTAGTTTTTTGCTAAAGCGAGACTGGATTTTCTTCTATCTAACTCTATTTACTTAAACACAAGGAAATTACAGTAACGTATGTCGTCCTGGTTTCATATATCTCTATTTTTGCACAAAATTTGTATATCAGTAGAATAGAATAAATATCTTAGTTTTAAAAAGAGAGTAAATTCCTAACTACGAAACTGAGAGTAAGCCTTTTACTCTCAAAACAGGAATAAATATCTTACTCCAAAATTGAGACTAAACACCTTACTCTTAAAATGGGAATAAACACTTTACTTCGAAACTGAGAATAAGGTTTTTATACTCTAAAAATGGGAGTAATTGTCTTACTCTAAAGGTACGAGTAATCGCTTTACTCCGCAGAATATTCTCCGAAGTCAAAGACCTAATTTTTGGAGTAAGAAAACCTTGATTTCGGAATAAATATTTTCAAAAAGCAGGAAGAGGATCCCTGGCTCTCACATTATCGAAGCGCCCCTGAAGACAATCCTGGTCGACCGATCTTACGCCAATTCTATAGAAACCTTATAAGAATCTTATATAAGGCAGTCGATGGAAATGTGTAATTTATTGATAAGATTCTTATAAGAAGGAATATAAGAATCTTATAAGATTCTGATAAGAATTCGGTAAGATAGATTATATAATTATTTTATAAGAATTCATAAGATTTTGGTAAGAATTCATAAGATTCTGATAAGAATCTTATAGGAAGGATATAGTACAACGTCCTCACATTCTTTAGTGATAAGTACTCTATATTCTACTTTCTTACTATAATCTACTGTTTCATACGTGAATAAAATAATTTTCTTTCCACTTATTTAGTTTTTCTACAATAAGACCTTAGTCCCGCGCGGACAGTCTCATGACTTTACCGCACTGTCTACTACTTGTAGACCGAACTTCCATAAATCTATCATAACTATAGGAAGAAAATGAAGTTCGAAAAATATAAGTGGGTAAAACGAGAATTCAAGGTACGAGATATTGCTCGTTCCTACAAATCCCGCTTTTTCAAACTGATCTCTAGAAAAATGCACTACTTGAGATCCTTCTTTCTATCAAGATCAGATTCAATTCCGGCTTTCTAAGTCACACAGAATAGAGCAGTTCGAATCCTACTGTTATGCACCAAAACTCTTTTCATATCTGTCTTAATAAAGCACTAGAATCAATCATAAAAGAACTTCATCTACTAAGTTAAGATTCTGATAAAAAGCGGGATTTATACAAACGAGCAACATATCGTGCCTTGCATTCTCGTTTTACCTATTTATATTTTTCGAACTTCATATTCTTCCTATAGTCATGATAGATGTGTTCCCTTTTTTGAGATTTTGCACAAAAGCCGCTTACCAAGTGCTGTGCTTGATCTCTGGGTTCAATTGGCGAACTTCGGCCTAAACACGCGAGCACGTTTGGGAACTACTAATGCTAGTCGCTCATGCATCTTCTGCAATGGCGTTGAAACGCCTACTCATTTGTTTACCGGATGCGAATCACTCGAGCCAGTTTTTCAACTCGTACGCGACCAGGTGGCATTTTTGT